ACTGACGCCCTCCTGCATCAGCCGGATGGCCTCGGAGAGCATTGGAGCGAGGATGCGGGTGGTGTAGAAACCGGGACCATCCTTCACGAAGATGAGCACCTTGCCTTGGCGTAGACCCACGTCACCGGCCGAATCTGATGGACCATAAAGAATGCAGTTTAGGGATGATAACCTAACAGGAACGCTCATTTCCGCAGTAAATAAAACCACGAGGGAAAAAGATTAGATGGAAGATGAGTATACAAACAGGGAACGGACGGAGATGTGGCTGAGACTAGCACAGGTAATGCTTCGACTTCATTCTGCCCTTATTCCACTACACACAGCCTTGATTGTCTTCTGATCAGGGAAACATGTACAAGGGCGCCTACACTGCAGAGATGTGTAGTAAGAACGAAACTGAACTTGTCAAAACGGCCGAAAACACGACGCCCCACGCTTATCGATCGGCGGTTATGCACTAGGAAATAACCACACTGCTGAACCACATCGATCTACTGGCTTGCCACCTGGTGATGGGACTGGGCAGAGGTTAGTGCGGCAAAGCATCATCCGAACAGAAGTATTGAGAGGAACATATTTGCCCGAAGGCTCCTTAGTCACGCGCAAATGTTTGGTAAATAAACTCTGTCAAGGGATACAATGTGGACTCCGCGGACATTGTGGAATATCGGGCATGATATGCGCAGCCGGGAACTGTAAGGAAGGAGTTCACAAGCGAGGGTCAATAGATGCGCCTCCTCTTTCGATCACATGAAGGTATTCTACACAATGATCATTGATGCTGGAAGGAGGCAAATGACCGCTAACCCCGCCGTCTGCCATCCCTAATATATACCGTATATTCAACGGCCATCAAATTATAGACTGGAGACTGGAATGGCTACTTCTGGCTTATTACTCGTCATCAACCAGTCATACCCACCCCCAGGGGTAGTCGTCCCCGAGGCTCGAATCCGCGACTTCGTTGTGTAGGAGTCCAACGCTCTAACTACTGCGTTACGGGCTCGATGGCTTGCCGGTTTTCGATCGGGAATATACACAACGATAGACAGGCGATCACCGAT